CGAGATCAATGTTAGTTTTGAAAATGTTCCTAATCTCAGCCAGAATAGTTTTTTTTTTTTTTAACGTAAACCGTCTGTTTGTATTTCTCCCCTGTTTGGAGCAGACTTACAGACTCAGGGTTTCTACGGCGGGAGGATGACTAACGACCGGCTCCTGGCGGTGAAGAACGCCACCTGCGAGGCCATCGATCACCTCCACAAGTCCCTGGAGTCCTGTCCCGACCCAGAGAGCGAAGTCCCGGATCCCAGAGGCATCAAGGTTTGGTTCCCTCACAAAAGCTAATTTGATTCTGTCCAGATCTGTGTGTTTTCTTACTGTTCCAACATGGCGTTATTTCTGGTTTAGAAATCACAGAAAAAGGTTCTGACTGTACGGAAACGCTCTAATAGAGCCCAGGACAAATATAACCCAACATCAGGAAGACATCAGTGAAGTTTTTGTGCCTTAAACGGATAAAAGTCGAAAAGTTTTATTCACATTATAAAACCAGAAAAGTCCCTGGATCCCAGAGGGATCAAGGTTTGGCTCCCTCACAAAAGCTAATTTGATTCTGTCCAGATCTGTGTTTTCTTACTGTTCCAACATGGCGTTTTTTCTGGTTTAGAAATCACCGAAAAAGTTCTGACTGTACAGAAACGCTCAGGTGTTGAACTCTAATAGAACCCAGGACAAATCTAACCTAACATCAGGAAGGAGTCAGTGAAGTTTTTGTGGCTTAAACGGATAAAAGTCGAAAAGTTTTATTCGCATTATGAAACCAGAAAAGTAAAGGCTATTACTGGAGCAGGTGTTAGGCCTAAAAAGTGAGAAATCAAACATTGATTAAAGCCTTTTTGGTCCTACAAGATATTTTATTAATAGTGTATTTTCCAAAAGAGGATTTCGGGAAATATACTCCGGACTTTATACCCAGGTTGGATTTTCTGATCAACACATACTGGTTTTAACTGATTTAGAAGAGGCGTTTGGGTCTGGTTCTTCCCAACTAATGAATCTGTCTTTCGATTTGTCCCTTCTTTTGACTGGTTTTGATATTGGTGAGGGGTCCTGTGATTGGTTTGGCAGGTTTCCCTCTTGGCCCATCAGAGGAGAGCTCTGGCCTGGCTGCTCTGGAGAGAGACGCAGAATCCCTGCGGAGGGATTTTAGGTGAGATTTTTTTAAATTATTTATTACTTTTCTTTCTTTCATGCACAATCTTTTGATGGAGGAAAAGATCAAACCTTTTCCAGTCTAAAATATTCCCTGTTATTTGTATTCAGTAGTCTTTCAGTAGACCTCTTACAGGGTTTTGGTCTTCTTATGCATTTCCAAACCTTTTAGAAAATGATCAAATGTCGTACGAAAGAATAAAAAATTCAACTAAATTAAGAAAAAACTCCTGTTCTCCTGTGTTCTTTTCCATTTGTGAATCCAGCGGATGACATGGGTTTGGGGAAGACCCTCACCATGATCTCTCTGATTCTGGCCCAGAAGAGGAAGACAAAGGAAAAAGACGAAAAGAAAGAAGAGAAGGAGCCTGACGGTTGGATATCTAAAACAGGTGACGAGAGCCTTTTATCTCCGAGAAATACAGCGGCGCGGACTCGAACGACTGGCTTTTTATCTTTTATCTCTTTTCCTTCCAGACTCCAGCGTTGTCGTCTCCAAAGGCACTCTGATCATCTGTCCCGCCTCCCTGATTCACCACTGGACCAGGGAGGTGGACAGACACGTGAAGAAGGGCCTGCTGACCGTCTACCTGTACCACGGCGCCGGCCGCGAGAAGAGCGCCAAAGTGTAAAAACACGCACGCTAAACGCCACTTTCCTGTTTGCTCGCTTCCTGTTTCTCCTGACGTCTCCACACAGATAGAAGGAGAACACAATTCACTTCTCAATAACTATTTCATGGTTATAAAAAGTCATCTTATTTTGTAAAAATACAGTATAAGGATACCCTCTCCCCCCCAAAAGAAATGACAAAAAACATCAATAATATACTCATAAACTCGCAATATTATTTAGGAAAAAAGCAATATTTTACTCACTTTTCTTGAAAAGTCTGTCTTGAAAATGGCCTTGACAGTAAATCTGCCACCAAATCAATTTCTTCTCCTCCTTCAGCCATTGTGGGGAGATTAAATGGGTATTACACCAACACAACTATATTTGGGTTTGTTTGCTAGCTTAAGCCAGTACGCTATCTGACTATCCAATCAGAGGTCTAGAGGGCCCTGGTGTCACAAACTTGAAACCTGATTGGTTAAAGCAACAGTTTAATCGACATTTATTATTATTATTTATTTATCATTTATTATTATTTTCTGTTAGAGGGCCTGCAGAACGGATTGTGAAGGCCTCCAGGCAGACATCTTTGACTTTGACCCTGCTTAGCAACAGATGATGGCTGAAATGTGATTGGTTAAATGCTTTAATATGAAAATACACGTCTGGAAGCAGCATAACCAGGGGAAAAGCTATAAAAGGAAGCAGACAGACCATTTAGAAATATTTAATAAGTATTCATGAACAAAATATAAATAAAATCAGTCTGTGATTCAGATATTTTCTTAGGCCAGCAGACGGCCCACCACTGCTTCCACGTCTTAAAAACCAATGCTGGGTTTTGTCCCTCAGGCTGGCCGACTACGACCTGGTGGTGACCACCTACAGCCTGGTCTCCAAGGAGATCCCAGCCCAGAGGGAGGAAGCAGGGGAGTCCGCCAAAGATCCCGATCACGTGGTACCTGCCGCCCCAGAATGAACTGGCCAGCGTTAGGAGCTTAAAAGACCTTAACTCATTGACTGCCAGCCATTTTCAGAACAGAGAGTCCCATACTGTCAGAGTTTTTTGAGCATTTTGACTGATTTTTCAAGAGCCACAGAATAGTTTGTGCTATGACTATGTAAACACCGAACACACCAAAAGAAAGAGTAGACTCTCTTCTTTCATCAGGGAAAAAAAATTGTTTCTACCCTATTCGGTTCTTCCTCGACTTGCGTCTCACCGGCGACATGTTCTCTCATAGCGAACCGTTACCTTTTTCTTATTTGCCTACAGTCTATGCTCATCTCCCATCAAAAGGGGCACTGCCACCTAGAGGGTCAATTTGTTACTACATACTCTGTCTAGAAGCCTGATATTTACGGACAATCTTTAGCAGATCGTCCCCAAGCCACTCGCGTTGAAAAACATAAAAGACGTCTATAGACGTCTCTGGCAGTCAACGGTTGTATTTGAATTGACGTCTATAGTCGTCTTTGGCAGCCAATGAGTTAAAACCTCCCCCGATTGGTTTGTTTTCAGCCCCCCCGCTCGGCCCCCCTGATGCGGGTGAGGTGGGCCCGCGTGGTCCTGGACGAGGCCCACAACGTCAAAAACCCGA